ACTAAACCAACGATTTGTTTGGATATTAATTTATAACAATATTCTAATACCTATAGTGTTAGTTAACACAATTATTACCTGATTGGATTAAAGCATATAAAATACATTATTTCTAAATATCTTTTTTTTTTGGCTTTCATTGGAGATTTAGGTTCAAATACTTACCTGAGGAATTCATATTTTTTTTATTTTGAGTACATGTCTTATATTAACATATTCATAATTAAAACAGTGGGTTTAATCATTAAATAATTTACTCATCTCTGAGATAGTTTACATATGAAACCCCATTATGATTTGGATATTAAGTAAATTATATTTTTCTCATGTAATAGGGTATATTGCCATCAAAATTATTTTTATAAGCTAGTAGCTTACATTATTGGAGGGAAAATTATCTGAACATAAAAATATAGATGTATGTGGTTATCTTAAACTGCATAAAAATGAACAGATAAAGGACTGCAGTGAAATTATCACTGGCAAAGTTCATGTTTTCTTCTCAGTAGAACTTTATCAAAGTTCTCTTGTTAAATTTTTTTAGTATTTTTTTCTAAAATAATTGTGCCACTTTTAAATGGGGAAAACAAAATAAAGTAGAAATATGAGATGTGGTATAGATATAGCTAGCTAGTTAACTTATTCCTGCAGATAAACAAATTGAATCATGTTCCAAAGTACATTTTGAAGATGAAATTAGAATTAGCTACCTAAAAAAAAACCCAAACAGATTAATTTCCAAATTTCTCCCTTCTCATTTCCACATGTATATATAAACAAGCATTAGAAATAATTCACATGTCATCACAATATTTCCCTTATAATAAAAAAAGTTCAGAGAATTATTTTGGTGCTTTCTTTTTTAGTAGGTTATAATGTACCATCTTTTTCAGAGTCCCCAATAAAATGCTTTCTTATGCTTCTTTCAAGTTGGCATTCACATGACACAGGTGAGAGAGGTTACTGGCCAAAACGATTACACATTTTTATCAATTTAAAAATAGAGTTAATAAATGCCTAGTGATGGAATTCTGGGTATTTTATGGGAACAATATTGAATAAAATTATCTTCCCTGAATCCATATGTGTGTATAAATTTTGTAGGTACAAGACCACATTGTCAGAGATATGGATCTAGTTATTTAGTTCCTTAGTGGTTATTAAGAAGTTTGTTGTTTAGGCTTATTGTTGTCATAGATGAATCCAAAAACTAAAGGTAGGAAAAAACAGAAAACAAAACCCCACAAACATATTGTCATAACGATGTGCCATGGAGGCAGTAATTTCATCCAAATATACTTCATATCATTTTTAGAAGTCTGCTGGATCTGTTCTGATTATGAGTCTGGAGTAGGCATTTTATGTCCCACAAAGAATGCAATTTTAGCATTTTGTGTCTTAAATGAATTAGTCAAAGGGCTACAAGAATCAGGCAGAGGGGCTACAAATATAACTACCTAGATACATAATATATAAAAATATCTTTGCCCAACAGGAAACCTCAATATTATATTTCCACAGAAGGCACGTAGACCAGCAGGTGACTTTTAGTGTTGACAATATACTATGAAAGTTATAGTTCAGGTGGTCAGAATATAAAATCTTAGTATCTTGGTGCAAAACGGAGACAAGGAGATGAAAAGACAGCTCTCTATTTATACACTCTAACTGGGATTTCATGACTGCATTCTTGAAGTTCCCATTATGTAGAGTAGAGGAATTTGGTTTTGGTGCCCTTAAATACAATGCAAATTTTGGCACACAATAGGCATTAAATTAGTACATTTGAATTAATTCTTAAATGAATAAATGAACAATGTAGGTGTATGTGACTCAATTGTATTTTGAAATACCCAATTAAATTCAGGAGAAGTTATAAGTTTATTACTTGATTGTTGTATCAGTGTAACATCAATAAGCACTAAAGGATTAACACACTAGGGCAAGCAAAATTTGATGAGTAAAACTGAATTTGAGGAATCCAAAGGGTAACTCATGGTAACTGGATGCCAAAATAGAGAGAAATATTACAAATTTAACAATAGATGATTGATCACATTAAAACAAAATTCTGTAGGGCCAGTCATTTGAGTCCAGTCATAAAAAATTGAGCATGTATACAAAGCAGCATTAGTGTATTTTAATTTCTTGATGTTGCTTAGTTCCCTCCTTAGTTATATTTCTACTTTTTAAAAATTAGCCTAAAATAAAAAAAAAAATACAGCTTTTGGGGCATCTGGGTGGCTCAGTTAAGCATTCGAATTTGACTCAGGTCATGATCTCACAGTCTGTGAGTTTGAGCCCTGCATCAGGCTCTGTGCTAACAGCTCAGAGCCTGGAGCCTGCTTCAGATTCTGTGCCTCCCTCTCTCTCTCTCTCTGCCCCCTTCGTGCTCTGTCTCTCTCTCTCAAAAATAAAGAAACATTTAAGAAACAACAAATGTTGGGGCGCCTGGGTGGCACAGTCGGTTAAGCGTCCGACTTCAGCCAGGTCACGATCTCGCGGTCCTTCGAGCCCCGCGTCGGGCTCTGGGCTGATGGCTCAGAGCTTGGAGCCTGTTTCCGATTCTGTGTCTCCCTCTCTCTCTGCTCCTCCCCCGTTCATGCTCTGTCTCTCTCTGTCCCAAAAATAAATAAACGTTGAAAAAAAAAATTTTAAAAAAAAGAAACAACAAATGTAAAAAAAAAAAAAAAAAACAACTTTGCCCTATGTGGGTGGGGGGAGGATGGGGAGAAGGCTGAATAGATGCTGGAGTCACAGTAATGTCAGACAGGTGAGACAAATCCAAATGAGTCTCCAGAGTTTAGAAAATGGCACAGGGTGGGACGCCTGGCTGGGTCAGTCTGTTGAGCATCCAATTCTTGATTTCAGCTCAGATCATGATCCCAGGGTCGTGGGATGTAGCCCTGTATCAGGCACCACACTGAGCGTGGAGCCTGCTTAAGATTCTCTCTTTCTCTCTCCCTTCTCTCTTTCATCCCCTGCAACTTTCTCCCACTCTCTCTCTCTAAAAATGTAAAATAAAATAAAATAAAATAAAATAAAATAAAATAAAATAACACAAAGAAAATAGCACAGGAAGGCTATATCCCATACAGAAATTCTAGAAAGAAAAACTATTTATTTATTTATTTATTTATTTATTTATTTATTTATTTATTTTTAAATATGAAATTTATTGTCAAATTGGTTTCCATACAACACCCAGTGCTCATCCCGACAGGTGCCCTCCTCAATGCCCATTACCCACTTTCCCCTCCCTCCCACCCCCATCAACCCTCAGTTTGTTCTCAGTTTTTAAGAGTCTCTTATAGTTTGGCTCCCTCTTATCTTTTTTTTCCCCTTCCCCTCCCCCATGGTCTTCTGTTAAGTTTCTCAGGATCCACATAAGAGTGAAAACATATGGTATCTGTCTCTGTATGACTTATTTCACTTAGCATAACACTCTCCAGTTCCATCCACGTTGCTACAAAAGGCCATATTTCATTCTTTCTCATTGCCACGTAGCACTCCATTGTGTATATAAACCACAATTTCTTTATCCATTCGTCAGTTGATGGACATTTAGGCTCTTTCCATAATTTGGCTATTGTTGAGAGTGCTGCTGTAAACATTGGGGTACAAGTGCCCCTATGCATCAGCACTCCTATATCCCTTGGGTAAATTCCTAGCAGTGCTATTGCTGTGTCATAGGGTAGGTCCATTTTTACTTTTTTGAGAAAAAACTTTTAAAATTATATATATACCCATATATATATATTCATGGGTGTAGGTTGAAATATAAATAGAAAAAAGTGCATAACTTTCCAAGTGTTTCTAGTGTTTTTAATAACATCAGTATTGGCAAAATTACAAATAGTCACTGCATGCCATTTTTGAACGGTAAATTATTTGGGTAAAAATCCAAATAATTTAGCTTGACCATTCACGTACATACATGCAGACACAAAGGTTGATAGAATCATAGCTACATAAGTAGATGATTTTAACTATGTAATCCTATCACCTAATGGCTAACAGTATCTTCTCCTGGGATATTTCCCCCATTAGAACAAGTTATCTGAGAAGCTTATTTAAGTTGCTAAAACTTCACAATTACATCCTAACACATTTTTCAGGATTAATTAGTCATTGTATTACACAGTAAGTATACTTTAGTAGCTTGCCACAGAAGCACATTATCCCAATTAAGAAATGTTTAAAATAGAAGTGTGTTTTTTAATGTATATTTTAATCTGTTTTGGTCACTACACTGAAATTCTAAAACTCTTCTGATGGTACCCTTGTAGGGATTCTGCCACAGGAGGGCAATCAGTGTGAGAAGAGAGATGTCATGTCATAGAAGATAGTCTCTAGGAAGTCACCCACTGGGGGAAAATAAAAATAGAGGATGAGTAAAATGTCAGATGAACCTCCACATTAGAACTGTGTTTGGCTTACTACATGTAGTGCTTGGATTTCTTCATTTTGATATTTACAGTGTTTGAATTTCTGTAAATTGTCTATGTGGTAATTTCAGGTAGCATTTAAATAATGCGATTCCACATCCCAAAGTTTCTGCATACCGTTTCCCTTAATATCTAAATTAAATAAAGTCCCAGTCTGTGACATCAGGATCCTTCCCGCAGAATAATTCTGAGAACCCCTAGGGAGTGCTTATATGTCTTAATGGTTACTTGTCACATCTTCCTCTGAATTTTTGTCTCAAATGGTTCTTCATTATTTCTAGTCATTTCCTTTATATCCAGCCATGCTTTTGTGGTTATTTTGTCCATCCTTTACCTGTGAAAATGGACACAACCTTTTCCTTTATTCCCTAAGACATTGGTAACTCAAAACTACTTGAGGAAATATATACATATACTATGTAGGGAATTTACAACATCGAAAGAAAGTTACAAAATTGGAGGCCAGACATCACTGCTTCTTAAAGTTAAGTGTCCATTCCTGTCCCTAGAACTTTCACTCTGATACCTGCTCCCTCCCATCCCTCTCCTTACCTACTGCCAGCAGCTTCTTCTGAGATCTGAGAGTCAGGGCTTTGCCACATCCTAAAATGTTCAGCATATCTCCTCTTTTCTGCTCAACCTACAAAAACAATCATTTATTACAAAATCTCACTCAGAAACATCCATTCCTTCTTCATGAAGCAACCTTTATTTAAGCAAAAGCCTCATAATAATATCTCAACTTGAGGTATTTTACTAATATTGAGTAAGTTATTCAAGAACCATTAATAGATAGGGACACCTGGGTGGCTCAGCTGGTTAAGCGTCCAATTCCGGCTCAGGTCATGATCTCAAGGTCCATGTATTTGAGCCCTGCCTTGGTCTCTATGCTAACAGCTCAGGGCCTGGATCCTGCTTTGGATTCTGTGTCTCCCTCTCTCTCTGCCCCTCCTCTGTTCACGCTTTGTCTCTCTCTCTCTCGAAAATAAACATTAAAAATAATTTTAAGAACCCTGAGTGGATGTTCTTTTTAAAGGTGTGAACTAACAGACTCTTCTAGATATTTTACAGATACAAAAAACATTCATCATCCATTGCTTTGCTTTCCTTATTACAAGAAATCAGTAGTGACTTTGAATAGGAATTCTCTTACTAAAATAAAATTTAGGATTTTGCTTTTAAATGCAGCAATAAGTGACCTAACTCCTCTAATAATCACAATTCACAAACAACGTCTGGTTGAAGTCACTATGGGTGGCTGCAGTTCCCCTAAACTAATGTTTGTTGATAGTCTGCAATTTTCTAAGAATTGAAATAATAATAAGTAATATTCAACCCCTGCCCCTGAGAAATTTAATTTGCAGTGAGATTTAATGAACTATATACAGGTGATGGAAACCTCAGCTATCACACCCATACAGGGCTACTCCAAATGTAAGGATGAGGCCATATTTTAGGATGCTGCATGGCCCTTCAGAAACTTTTCCCTTTCCTTGCTTTTAAGAAGCCCTGGGGAGGGGGGAGCACCTGGATGGCTCAGTTGGTTAAGCATCTGACTTCAGCCAGGTCATGATCTCACAGTTTGTGGGTTCGAGTCCCACATCGGGATCTTTGCATCGGGATCTTTGCATCGGGATCTGTGCTGACAGCTCAGAGCCTGGAGCCTGCTTCGGATTTTGTATCTCCCTCTCCCTCTGCCCCTGCCCCACTCACACTCTGTCTCTTTCTCTCAAAAATAAATAAACATTAAAAAATTAAGATTATTTACTTTTGAGAGAGACAACGCAAGTGGGGGAGGGGCAGAGAGAGATGGAGGGAGAGAATCCCAGGCAGTCTCTGCACTGTCAGCATAGAGCCCAACGTGGGGCTTGAACCCACAAACCGAGAGATCATGACCTAACAGGAGTCAGAGGGTCAACTGACTGAGCCACCCAGGAGTCCCTCTAAATTCTTTTAAGATCCAAAGAAACTGAAATTTTAAGTCAAAGAAAATATTTTAATATATAATATTGTCTTTATACCAGTATCATAGTAAAATATAATTTTAAATATTTGTTAATGGAGGAATCAGATCATAAAGGTAAAAGTGCCTAGATAGTATAGCAAAAATGGTTAAGAGGCATCACTGAAGTTTTTAACACATCAGACTTATTTCCCATCTTTTAATTTCTCTTTCCTATGCATAAATAAATATATTCTTTTAAAACAATTTTTTAAGTTTACTTATTTATTTTGAGAAGGACAGAGAGTGGGCAGGGGAGGGGCAGAGAGAGAAGGAAAAAGAGAATCCCAAGCAGGCTCTGCACTGTCAGCACAGATGTGCTGATCTCACCAACTGTGAGACCATGACCTGAGCCAAAACCAAGAGTTGGGTGCTTAACTGACTGAGCCACCCAGGCGTCCCTAAAGACATCTTTCGAGCATTTTACATATCATTATATGTAGTTAAGCAATATCCTAAAATTGTAGATGTTAAAATTTAGGTAAGGTCTCTATTTATTAGGATGTTAAGAGGTATGTCAATTAGTCCTCCTAGAATGATTTTCCAATTTGAAAGAACCTACATGTTAAGTTAATTGGACCACTCCAAAGAACTACACAGCATTGGTTTTATGTGTTTTAAGAGAATTCAGAGCACACTGTGTCCAGAATCACATGAGTGAGACTTCAGAAATCAGTGGCCAGTGTCCCCATTACCTGGGTCTTCTATTCTTTTAATTTTGTTCACTTAAATATTCACGACATCTTCACCTTTCTGAGGGAAAGGATTATAAATCACTACTTCCATTCTACAGCATTTGGTGCCTTCTGAGCACATACTAGGCACCTATCAGGCGCATTTTTGACTTGATGAGATATGCATTTAGAATTGCTCAAATTGAAGGGGCGCCTTGGTGGTTCATTCGGTTGAACTTCTGACTTCGGCTCAGGTCACGATCTCACGGTTCATGATTCGAGCCCCGTGTTGGACTCTGTTCTGACACCTTGGAGCCTGGAGCCTGCTTCAGATTCTGTGTCTCCCTCTCTCTCTGTGCCTCACCTGCTCACTCTCTGTCTCTCTTTCTAAAAATAAAAAAAATAATAATAAAACAATAAAAAAACAAAAAAAATTAAAAAAATGAAAAGAAAAGCATTGGGAATCTTTCTACAAACTTTAACTTTTTGTCTATTATTTGCACTTTTTTCAACATTTCTTTCCTCATCATTTATTCTATGCATATATGTATATATGTGTGTATATATATATATGTATTTAAGATAATGATCTCAATATTTAGACTACTAAATATTGGAAGAGACTATCAAAATATAAGTGGTCAAGTTGTCCCTGAAACCTGATAACTTTTAATCTGCAAGGGTATGGCCCGATGTTTAAATATTTCCTAGAATGATTATAAAGCACACCAAACTTTATGAATCAGCTATTTAAGGACACACTCTAACATTTTTTTAAAAAGGATTTTGTCACCCGACTCACAGGTTCCTTTTTACCACTTCCATTTCATCATCCTCAGCCACTCTGACAACCCTTATTGACAACAGGCTGTATCTTGATTTCTCAACCATCTCAGCGGTGCGATTTTCCTCATTTTATAGCATTCCTCAATTGGTCTATTTTGTACCTTTGCATCATTCAGAACAGCTCTGCTATAGAAATCCCTGCTTAGTAACACCTGTCTTTTTCCTTCAAGTCGATGTGCTGTCCCTCAGATCCATCGCAGCAGGCACCTGGTGCCTCCGTGTTCGTCACGTGACCTTCTATTCTCCGGGAAAGTTACAAAATTAGCCAATATATAAAATTAGAAGTTCTTAGGAAAATATTAGCTGCCTCATCACTACTTTACAGCAGTGTTTTTAATCTCTCTCTCACCTGAAAAACTTTTCCCACTACAGGAAAACCAAGCTTTTCCTTGGACTTTAAATGTTGCTGTTGTTGTTGTTGTTGTTGTTTTCTTATATAATCTATCTTTATGTATCCCACCGTAGTGGTTCCCTACTCAACAAAGACTAATTTTTTCACGCGTCTTCTCAACTCAAAAAAACATAGTCTCTTCAATCCATACTTTTACTACCACTCAAGTTATTAGTCTAAAGCTTCCGCCTTATACCAATCCTTCACTTCATGGCCACATTTTTCAAAGGTGAAACCTTTATTTATTGACTCTACAGGTTCACCGTGGACGTATTCTGAACCTCTTGCGGTAAGGTTTCTTTCTTCTTCCACTTCACTAAAGCTGTTTTCTCAATTTCCATTGATCAATGGACGTCAAAGGCTTTCTTCATCCTTAACTTGCCAGATTTCTCTTCATTTCACTCTAGTAATTACAATTCGTATCACCTTTCCCTTCAAACTTTCTCTTTAAAACGTCAGTTCAACTGACAATAAATATTGCCATTTTACTATTCCTTTATTTCTCTTTTGCAAATTCTTTTTTTCTTATTCCTACCCTCTTAACATGTATGATCTTGAGCCTCTCCTTGGTTTTCTCTCTCTTCCTCTCTCTCTCATTTGTTAATTGGATATCACTATTCCATGATCCTCAGCTGCCAGCTTTACATGTATAAATCTTACCTCTTTTTATTTCAGTCTAAATACCACGTTCTTGCTGTTGCCATTCTTAATCACCCACTTTGGCAATGCTTTCTCTTTCTACACTCAGAGAGCATATGATTTCTGTCTCTCATCTGCGCTTATAGCACATACATTTATATTTTAATTAATTTACTTATTACTAAACTAAGAACTTTCCCGTCACAGTTCACAAGTCCCCAGTGAATGAATGAATGAAAGTGGTATTGAAAGTGAACTTCAGTAGAAACAAAACTGCATGTACTTCAAAAAAGAGGCAAATGAACTAAGTTATGGAAAATAAGTTGAGTATTTTTCAAATGATTGTCATCAAAGGTCTTTGAGTCCCGAACAGTATAGCATGAGGCTATTCCTCTCATATTGACATTGAACTTTGGAATATGAGTCTAGCTAGTCTTACCAGATTAATATATTTTGCATGATATTTGCCTATACGACAATCCTAAGATCCCAACATGCCCCTCTTTTGTGTTAGAACAATTGCTCGTTGTATAGGAATAGCCCGTGCTTAAAAACCCAAAAGCCCAATTTTAATGGGATATCACTAAGGCTGCTATTATTTGGAAGGCCTGGGAAAACTGAAAAACAAAAACAAAAACATTTGTAGCTTTCCCACATACTGCATTTCTGGAGATAGAAGAATAGAATGTCTTACTTTGTTTTCATAAGTGAAAAGATCCTTCTGATAAGCAGTCTCTTCCTTGCTTCTGCCCACAGCACATTTACATGCCAGGGCCTTGGCATGCCTGGCTTCATAGGACTTCAAAGTCTTGCTCAATATCTTATTTTAACCCAAGCATTACCTTCTACTAAGACTGCTATAAACAGGTAAATGCTCTTAAGAGCTGATGCACATTTCTGTTACTGCTGTTACATATTCTCCAAAAATCTAACGTATTTCCAATTGATTTAAATACTCTGAGATAACTATTACTTACTCATTTGTTTCTTGTCATACTTATAAACCATATTTTTTTTCTTAAAAGGAAGCTAAAATATTTTCACTATCATCTCGGGGGGTTAGGAAATCAAACAGACACAATTTTGCT